GAACATTTTGCTCTGAAAGGCTAATGCATCAACTGAACCTTACTGAAAAGCGAACACAAGTGCTTCTTCGAACAATGGGCCAATCTAAAATAAGTCCAGCATTTTCTCTGTGTGATCTTGAGGTGGCTGGTCTTGAGAGCAATACATTTTATCCTCTGCCAGAAGTTATCACACAGAGACAAATGCCTGTGACCAAAAATGATATGATAACATCAGAAGATTTACTAAAATGGTCATATCTGTCAAGCATTAAAATGCCATCTATAAATTCTGAGGTTGATCTGTTGATTGGTACCAATGCTCCAAGGTTATTAGAACCTTGGGAAGTCATTAACAGTAAAGGTAATGGCCCATATGCTGTCAGAACTGTACTTGGCTGGGTAGTCAATGGGCCCTTGGATAGCAGTGGTGTTCAAGAAGATCCATCTGTAACAGTGAACAGAATTTCAGTGAACAAGCTGGAGGAACTGCTCAAGAGCCAGTACAATCATGATTTCTGTGAAGGATCAACTGATAAACAAGAAATGTCTAGAGAAGACCAAAAGTTTCTCAATATTATGGAAACATCTGCAGCAATACAGGATGGAAAGTATTGCTTGAACCTGCCATTTAAAAGAATGGGTGTCTGTCTACCAAACAATTTTGCAGTAGCCAAACAAAGAATACGAAGTCTCAGGAAAAGATTCATGTTCAATCAGAACTTTCACCAGGAGTATGTGGAGTATATGAACAACATAATTTCATGCAGGTATGCAGAACGTGTACCTGAGCATCTTTTGCATTGTGACAATGGAAGAATTTGGTACATTCCCCACCATGGGGTTTACCATCCAAAAAAGAGAACTTTACGAGTGGTGTTTGACTGTGCTGCGGTGTTTAAAGGAGTGTCCTTGAATAGTGAGTTGCTGCCAGGCCCCAACCTCACTAACACTCTGTTGGGGGTCCTTCCGAGGTTTAGAGAAGAGTCCATAGCTATAATGGGAGACATTAAAGCTATGTTTCATCAAGTACAGGTGCCAGAAGGAGATCGAGACTTCCTCCGATTTTTCTGGTGGCCAGATGGGGACATTCCACAGGAACCAGTGCCTTATAGAATGAAGGTCCATCTATTTGGAGCCGTCTCGTCCCCCAGCTGTGCAGCCTTTGCTTTAAGAAGAACTGCCCAAGACAATCAGAATGAATTTCCACCAGAGGTCATAGAAACTGTAAGACAGAACTTTTATGTTGAGGATTGCCTGAAAAGTGCAGCCACAGAAGAGGAAGCTATCCATTTGATAAAAGATCTTGTTGCTCTGTGTGAAAAAGGAGGCTTCACATTGGAAAAATGGATAAGCAACAGTCGTGTTGTTCTGCAGGCCATCTCAGAAGAGCAGAGGGCTAAAGATTTGAAAATGTTGGATCTGGATATCGATAAGCTTCCAATGGAAAGAGCTTTGGGTCTGCAGTGGTGTGTGGAGACTGATGCCTTCCAGTTAAGATGAAGCTGAACCAGCAAGCCCTGACCAGACGGGGAATGTTATCCGTGAATAGTTCTGTATATGACCCTTTGGGTTTCCTGGCACCAGTAACATTGCAGGCAAAACTTATGCAGCAGGAACTGTGCAGAAGAAGCTGTGGCTGGGATGATGCACTCCCACAAGATATTTTGCACAAATGGAAAAAATGGCTGGAGGAGCTTGAGCTACTATCCACATTTAGTGTTGACCGCTGCATAAAACCTGTGGGGTTTGGAGCCATAAAGCATGCACAATTGCACAATTTTTCAGATGCTAGTGAAACTGGATATGGAACTGTTGTGTATATTCGTATGATAAATTATGAAAACATCATTCATGTTGCTTTCCTTATGGGGAAGGCCAGAGTAACACCACTAAAAGTTATCACCGTTCCCAGGCTTGAACTGTCAGCTGCTGTCTTAGCTGTGAAGGTGGATGCCATGGTCAAAGCAGGGCTGAATATGCAACTGGATAAATCAATGTTCTGGACTGATAGCACATCTGTGTTGAGATACATTAATAATGAAGACAGATGCTTTCACACATTTGTTGCTAATAGAATTGCAACCATCAGAAATTTGTCTGAACCTACTCAGTGGAATCATGTCAGTACAAAAGAAAATTCTGCTGATTATGTGTCTCGTGGAATGAAAGTTTCAGACTTCCTGAAAACCAGGACGTGGCTGGATGGACCACAATTTTTGTGGAAAGATGAAGAAAAGTGGCCCAAAGGGGTGATTGATGTAGAATTAGATGTCAGAGACAAAGAAATTAAGAAGGAGACTGCAGTTAACATCATTGGCCTCGACACTCCTGCACCTACTGACCAGCTTATTTCACATCTTTCTGACTGGAGAAGACTTAAAATAGCAGTGGCTTGGTACCTAAGGCTGAAGTGTGTCTTAAAGGAGAAATGTAGAAGGAGAAAACAGCTGGACCCTTTAATAGACAAGAATGCGTTTGTGCATCAGATGAACACAAGAAGGCGCCAAAGCACAACTAATCACTCAAAAGGTCGAAGTTTGTCATTGGCAGAGCTTCAAAATGCAGAGATCTTCATCATTTTGTACTGTCAGCAGCAGAAATTCCAACATGAGATTGAAGCCTTGTCACACAACTCTAAAGTGAGCCGTATGAGCCCTATCTATGTATTGGATCCTGTTTTGGAAGATAAAGTTTTAAGAGTTGGAGGCCGGCTTCATAGAAGTGCAATGCCAGACGAAGAAAAACATCCAATAATTCTGGCCAAAGAACAAAACATCTCTAAGTTAATCCTTAGACATTTTCATCAGGTTCTTGGACATGCACGACAGGGCACATACACTGTCGGCTGTAAGAAAAAGGTTCTGGATTACAAAGGGAAATTCTGCTGTGAGAAAGGTTATTGGTGAGTGCAGCATCTGCAGGCGATATAACAGTCGACCTTTAATGCAAAAAATGGCTGACTTGCCCATTGCAAGGATTCTCCCAGACAATCCTCCATTTTTTAATACAGGGATTGATTATTTTGGGCCTTTTGAAGTTAAAAGAGGAAGAACATGTTGCAAGAGATATGGTGTGTTGTTTACTTGCCTGGCAAGTCGAGCCATCCATTTGGAGGTTGCAGCTACACTTGATACAGATTCTTGCATCAATGCATTGAGAAGATTTATCAGCAGAAGAGGACAAGTTAAACAGTTATGGTCTGATAACGGAACAAACTTTGTTGGTGCTGAGAGAGAACTGAAAGAAGCTCTTGTTAATCTAAATCAGGACACAATAAAGTCCTTTTTGGCACAGGTGGAAATAAATTGGATTTTTAATCCACCTGCTGCTTCACATTTTGGTGGTGTTTGGGAGTGAATGATTCATCTGGTGAGAAAGGTACTTAACTCAGTGCTATAATTCTGGCCAAAGAACAAAACATCTCCAAGTTAATCCTTAGACATTTTCATCAGGTTCTTGGACATGCACGACAGGGCACATACACTGTCGGCTGTAAGAAAAAGGTTCTGGATTACAAAGGGAAATTCTGCTGTGAGAAAGGTTATTGGTGAGTGCAGCATCTGCAGGCGATATAACAGTCGACCTTTAATGCAAAAAATGGCTGACTTGCCCATTGCAAGGATTCTCCCAGACAATCCTCCATTTTTTAATACAGGGATTGATTATTTTGGGCCTTTTGAAGTTAAAAGAGGAAGAACATGTTGCAAGAGATATGGTGTGTTGTTTACTTGCCTGGCAAGTCGAGCCATCCATTTGGAGGTTGCAGCTACACTTGATACAGATTCTTGCATCAATGCATTGAGAAGATTTATCAGCAGAAGAGGACAAGTTAAACAGTTATGGTCTGATAACGAAACAAACTTTGTTGGTGCTGAGAGAGAACTGAAAGAAGCTCTTGTTAATCTAAATCAGGACACAATAAAGTCCTTTTTGGCACAGGTGGAAATAAATTGGATTTTTAATCCACCTGCTGCTTCACATTTTGGTGGTGTTTGGGAGTGAATGATTCATCTGGTGAGAAAGGTACTTAACTCAGTGCTGCGTCAGCAAATTCTTGATGACGAAGGGCTAAGTACAGTGTTCTGTGAAGCAGAAGCCATCTTGAATGATCGCCCTATTACAACCCTCTCAGATGATCCAAATGATTTGGAGCCACTTACCCCAAATCATCTGCTCTTGCTCCGAGGAAAGCCTTCACTTCCCCCTGGAACATTTAAGCCGCAAGATAAGTATGGAAGAAGAAGGTGGAGACAGGTACAATACCTGGCTCATCTGTTTTGGAAGAGATGGGTTCGAGAATACTTACCCTTGCTTCAAGAAAGACAGAAATGGAACGAAAAGCGGAGAAACCTTGCTGCTGGAGATATTGTGGTCATAATGGATCCTTCTGCGCCCCGAGGATCCTGGCCTCTTGGAAAGATTCTGGAATTGTTTCCAGATAGTCGTGGTTTCGTGAGATCAGTGAAATTGAAAACTAAGACCAATATTATTGAGAGACCAATTTCCAAACTTTGCATGGTGTATGGTGTCTAAATTAATGTTGCATTTGTATCACATATTGCCTCCTGTATTATTATTGTTTGAGAATTGGCATATTTGTTTATTATGCCAATTTTTTATTTATTTATTTATTATTTTTTGTTTTGTTTGTGATCACTAGATGGGGCTGTCAGCTCCAGTATATAAATGATGAGATGACAGGTAATTGACAGGTGTTGAATCCGGAAGGGCATACAAGTTTTTGACCGCTGTGGCGGAGTCGTTGTTATCCCTGTGGCCGTGCATTGTGGAATAAATGATTTTCATGCACAAAATGATTCATCTGGCTAGAACAACTTATGTACTGCAAGAAGATCGTTTGAATCACGTTTACATGCGATCTACAGGTACGTTAGCCGCTAGGCGCGTCATAACAAGCAGCAACGGATCAATGCAAAATAGTGCAGTGTGAAACTGGCTATTATAGGAAAGATTTCTGTTCAATCTCCTGCTTCAGAACAAGCTGCTCTTCCTGCTCACCTATGGGGAGCTCCATGGTTTCCTCTTTTTTCCAGGGATGTTCTGGTTCTTTCTTCTCTTCTTTTATCTGCAGAGGTTCTGGTTCCTCTTGGTCCAAACTGGATTTCCTCTCCTGTCCACAGAGCTGCTGGTCAGAGAAATCCTCCTCTTTTCCAACATAATCCTGCAGGCGGTCTGGAAAGACAGACACAGCAAAAAGACGTTCTATTGGTGGGTAAATAAAGGACACCTCACATAAAAGCACCAAACTCTGTCCTTCAGTTTGAGGAATGAGTGGATCCTGTAAAGCCGGGGTGCCCAACCAGTCGATCGCGATCTACCAGTTGATCGTGGGCGGAGTTTCAGTCGATCACGAGAAGTTTTACAATGTAGACCTATTTATGGCTATGACAAAAAAATAAATCAATTAATTAAAAAAAACACTAATCAAATCACTGATCCCGAGAGGACAATGTGTGTTTCCATAATAATAGAATGAAATATAAAAAGTATGGAGCGAACCTTTTTTTATGCATGGTGATTGCTGGGCATGGTTTGCCGCGGTTGCTAGGTTGTTTCCAGGGACTCTAAAGCGCGAAGAGGAATCTGAAGAGATAATGAGATAATGACATCTATCACCACTGATGGGGCTCCATCTATGGTTGGGCGCACTGCTGGATTCGTTGCTCTGTTCAAGCCGTCTGAAATGATTTTTGGAGCTACCGCTGCATCATTCATCAACAGCAGCTGTGCGGCAGTATTTTAAATATGAAGCATGTCATGCCATGAAGATCGCTTGCTCTGTTCGGGCCGGGAGTTTACAGAGGCGTTTATTCCGTGCCCAGCTGGAGGAGGCAGGTGCAGACCACACTGATCTGCTGCTGCACACCGACGTCAGGTGGCTGAGCCGTGGCGGATTCTTTGAAAGATTTTTGGAACTTTTGCCGAAATTAAAGAGTTCCTGAAACAGTCAACAACCAATTCTGCTGTTTGTTACATCTTCACATCCACATAGTTTGTACTTAGTATTTTTCTCTTTCTGTTTTCCTGTTGAATTTTAAACCATTGGACAGTTTATCTGCCAATGCCCAGTGAAGTTTATCATTCTGAAATAGCGGACTTCCCTTCTCCTTCTTCCTGCTTTGAAGTCATCTTAGACTTAGGTTTTATTTGTCATTTTGTTTACAAAGTGTAAAACAAAGAGGAAATTTAGTTTTGGAACAGCTCTCTGGACAATTTCATCTTTTTTTTAAAGTGCAGCCTGTAAAATTAGTAAACTACATATATATATAAACAGTGATATAAACATATGACTGTAAATTTACAGTTCAATTTTTTATTTTTTTTTCATCTCTACTGGACTGTGTGTGGATCAATTGGTTTATTTAGATTATTTGACCGCACAGCCTTTGTCTGGAGATCTTGACTGCTCTTTTCTATAGTTTTGGTGAGTCTTGTGAGTGAGTGAGTGAGTGAGTGAGTGAGTGAGTGAGTGAGTGAGTGAGTGAGTGAGTGAGTGAGTGAGTGAGTGAGTGAGTGAGTGAGTGAGTGAGTGAGTGAGTGAGTGAGTGAGTGATATGTTGTGAAGTTCTTATGAGATTGTTATGTTTTTGCAACCTATTTTTTGACACATTTGATAATTTCCCCGTTTATTGGACTTACTGTTTATTCTCCACATGTGCAAATCATAAACAAATTCTGCCCATCCCTTGTGTTTGGCTTGGTAAATCTCGGCATGCCATCTACTTCAAAAGTAGATCAGGGATTAGGAAAATTGGCATAATTGTATGCTATGCGCACAGTGTAAATATGGCTATCATATGGCAGTCTTCTGTACAGTGATGCAGGTCATACATTAAAAAATGTTCATTAAATTTTTTTCTCTCAGACATTGGAGAGGTGCATTTAAATGTTATAGAGCTAAACATGTTAAATTGGTGACCTGTTATGTTGTTATTATTGTCTTGTTGCTGCATTTATTTTGTCAGGGAAAACTAATCCTGAGTCAGTTAAAAGTCAGGGAATTCTGAAATGATGTAAGACTGTGGAAACCCTGTATAAAATAACTATGTATAATGATTCTCTAGAAAAGTCACATTATATTAATAGTATTATCTTGTATAAACAAACCGTGACTCTAAAATAAAAGTTATTCATTTCTGACATTTACTTCTTTCTTGTGATTTATCTTAAGTTTTTAACCTGTCAAGTTTTTTTTTTATTTTTAACATTACAATTTATTTAAGTTTAAAGCAAACTTTAGTTTGAAAAGAATGTGCAGGAAGGATTGAAAAGCATGTTAACACGGTAATGTAGGCATGAGTTCATTATCTGACGCATGCATATACACACCAGGAACCTGGAAACTTAAAAAATACCGAATAACAAAAAACATTTAAAAAACAAACATGTTTCATTGATATATATATATACAAAAATAAATATTAGGAACTATATTTATCAAACATTATACTGGGCAAGTAAAAATTGTTTCTGGGCAAATGAAATGTGAAAGCCACTTGCCCAAAGGCCATGAAGTAGTATTTCGTGCGCACGAAATACTACTTCATGGCCAAAAGTTAAAATTTTTTTTGACTATGTCATCAGAGGGGCTCCGTAGATATTAAGTCAATTGATCACAATTCCTGGATGCTATTGAGGAAAAATGTTAATATTTTCGTCTAAAAATTAATCAAACATAATTCAAGGTTTATCACATTAGCTACTGAGCTAATATATTTTCACAGGAATTAATTACAATATAGATTTAGAGATTTTTTTAAAATAATTTCCCTTACAGATTCGCCTCTTTGAACTGTTACTTTAGAGCTCACATATAAAGCCTTAAATGGTCAAACTCCATCTCATATCAGATCATTCCTTATGTTCCTAACAGAGCACTTCACCCTTAATCTGAACATTTACTAGTAATTCCTAGAATTTCTTGAAGAAGAAAGGGATCAGGATCTTTTAGTTATCAGGCTCCTCTGCTGTGGAACCAACTACAAGTGTTAGTCGGTGAGGCAGAAAAGCTTACAGTTGGAATGCCTTATGTTATCCAGAGCTATCTCTATAGTTATGCTGCTATAGGCTTAGACTGCTGGAGGACATAGAAACCCCTTTTCAGATCACTACCGCGCCATCGGCAGCCATCCTTCTGTTAACAGCTAGCTTGTTAGCCATCTGGACCAGAAACCTTTTCTGACAGCTTCAAAATATGAATTTTAATACACAATCCTATTTCTTCTAATACAACCACAGTTGCCGCAATCCGGAAATCTGCCACTATGCTGGAGAACTTTAAGGCCTGCAGTTCCTAACAACATAATTTTATTCATCTTTTGAGAACAAACTTCTCACCAGTAGTTATGTCATTTCCTGTTTCATGTGATGCTGTCGCTTGACAAACTACAACCTGAGAGTAACACTGCAGCCACAGAAACTCTGGGGGGCCAAAAATGTGCCATTATATAAAAAAAGGATGATGGTATGTATATTTTTCCCTCTCTGAGTGTCTGTCCAGCTACTGAGGAGCAACAGGAGAAGAGTGGTTTTCTTCTCAGCATGAAAACACCAGAGCTGGGTATTTTCAGCTCATGTGGGAGGAAGCAGCTGTACTACAACTGTGTGAAAGTGCTGAATTTTCACTCTCTGGCTGGAGTGAAGGAGTCAAAATGGTGTGAGGTATTTGCCTCAGACGTTACCCCTAAAGGCAGGTGGAGGGTCCTGTATAAACCCCATGTTGAGAAAAGGATGGCGGACCTTCAATGGAGGATTATACATGGAGCAATAGCCACGAACAGACACAGAGCTCGCCTGGATCCAGGCACTGGGGAGGGCTGTCTGTTCTGCACTCACAGGGAAACGTTAGATCACTTAGTGGTGGGTTGTCCTCGGCTAGTTGATCTTTTTAAAGTTTGAAAGGATGGGTGGAAGCTTTGGGGGAGGTTTTCTCTCTTCCTCTGTTTGTTTTTGGACCCAGATACACAGTGAGGAGAAAACTGAAATTAGTTTTAATTAATTTTTTGTTTGGGGTGGCTAAACTAGCCATTTGGAGAACCAGGAAGAATCAGATGCTGGGTAAGGGTTGGACAGATGTGGTGCAGAGCCTGAAAGGTCTGGTTGCAGCTCATCTTAGAGTGGAGCATGCTTTCTACAATCTTTTAAATTTTGAAAATTTTATAAATTTTAAGTATGTATGCTTCATTTATAAAGCGCTACATGGACTAGCCCCACCTCCTGTGTCTACTCTGTTCAAACACAAGACTTCAAGGGGCCTGAGAAGCAGGGCCTCCTCCAGAGGAGACTGTGAGGTTCCTCACAGAAGAACAACTTTTGGTCAGAACACTCTCTCTATGAGAGCCACTAACATCTGGAACAGTCTTCCTCTGCACATACAGGAGAGCCCTACACTGATCAGCTTTAGAGCTCAACTCAAACTACAGATGAAAACAAACCAGTCATGTAACTAGGGTTGTCAAAAGTATCGATACTCCAAAAAGTATCGATACTAAAACGTTGTATCCGGATACGATACTCATTTTTAAAAGTATCGATACTACCGCTGCCGCGCGCGGCCGTATGCTGTCGGTCAGGAGATGTGGGACCTTCCTATCGGTGACGTAATCAAAATGGCCGACTTTGATGTGGGCGGAGTTACAGACTGAAGCGAGAAGCTACATGCAGCAGTGTGTATGTGAGGGCACAATAACAGAAGAGAGCATGGCCAGTGCTGCTGCAGGAGGGCCAAAACAACCAGTTTTGGTCGACAATGATAAAGGCAAGAGTGCTGTTTGGAGGTATTTTGCCTTCGAGCCTGACACGGAAGGGAAACCGAAAGACGTTGATAGGCCAGTCTGCAAACACTGTTTCAAGTCAGTGGCGACCAAGTCCAGCAGTATGACAAACTTGGCGAAACATCTGAAGGACCGACACCCTGGCCTTTACACTGAATTTCGACAGGTTAGTGTGTTTCTTTTCAAACTTACCTATTACTAATGCTATCGTAGCCGGTAGCCCGCATTAATGTTAGCGTGTGATTGTTAGCCGCAGCTAGGTACATTGCTAGCTGC